ATTTTATTTTATTTTATTTTATTATTATTATTTTTTAAAGGTTTATTGGGTGGAATGGAATGTATGTTAGAGAAGAGATATGAGTGGAAGAATGGGGTTAACTTACAAGATTTACTTTAAAAAATTTTGAACTTGGGATCTAGAATTTTTTATATAGAATTTTGATTTACGTTAGGGGCAGGTTACACTAGCTTTGGTGATAATATTAGAGCTACTGTACTAGCATACAAAGAAAGGATGCTATACCATGTTTTGTGCATTGTGGTGGAAAAGTTGTACCTTTCTTTTTTCACTGAGGGTTGGACGGGCTTTAATTTTTGAAGTGGATAGTTGAAATATATTGTTTTTGTCATTTATTTTTTTATGGGTGACTTGAAGTATTGTTTTTGAAATTGTTGAACTAATATAAGAACTGAAAAGATGATAAAAAATTATCACGTCCGGTTTGTTCGGGTGATGGATCTATAATAATTCACCTATCCCAATTTGTTTTTCAAATTGTTGAACTCATATAAGAACTGAAAATAGTTTTATGGTACCTTTTAGTAGGGGTGTGAAGAGTCGCCCTAATCGAGCTTTAGACTGCTGAAACTTGGTTTGGTATCTGGATGAGCACTAGTATCTTCAATCTTGAATAGTTTACTATTTAAGCAAAGCACTAATGACTAATGTGATTTAGAAGATCTAAATACCAACACCTTGGTTGATTTAGTATTTTATCAACTTGGTGGATTTGGTCTTTATTAGCTTAATGCCTAAGAACCAAGCCTAGATATATGTCAAAGCTGGACTTGTGTCATTCCTGATCCGAGCTAGAATGAAGTCCAAGCGGGCCAAGCTCGAAGCACTCATGATCTACTTGAACCAATTTACAGTCCTGCTGTCTTTATGCTTTATCAATTACTACATGAGCTATTATCTTATCTATACAAATTTCTGTCATTAGAAACCATTTTTGGAATTACTTTTTTATAACTTTTGTTATTATGCTTTCAGATAAAGCTGAAAGGCTTTTAGCTGAAGCAGCCTCATATGGTTCCCAGCTTGTTGTGTTTCCCGAAGCATTTATAGGTGGTTATCCGCGCGGATCAAATTTTGGTGTTACCATTGGTAACCGTACAGCCAAGGGTAAGGAGGAGTTTCGGAAATATCATGCTGCAGCTATTGATGTTCCAGGTAAGCTCCCTACATGTATATGTGAATCCCTCGACTGGATGGCAGTAACCTGGCCCATCCTGGTCCACTCCTCGACACCGGTTGACACATCTACACACAAGTGATGCTTGTCTAACAGTGTCCCCTTTTCTCTGTCTTTTATTTGTTTTTTTCAGGTCCTGAAGTTGATCGTTTGGCAGCTATGGCTGGAAAATATAAAGTTTTTTTAGTGATGGGCGTTATTGAGAGAGATGGATACACACTCTACTGTACAGTTCTGTTTTTCGATTCTCAAGGTCGTTACCTTGGAAAACATAGGAAGATAATGCCAACTGCATTGGAACGTATAATTTGGGGATTTGGAGATGGATCGACAATTCCTGTTTTCGAGACACCAGTTGGGAAAATCGGGGCTGCAATATGCTGGGAAAACAGAATGCCACTTCTAAGGACAGCAATGTATGCTAAAGGTCAGATTAATTATTTTACTTCAGTCAGGTTATAGTTACTTACTTTATGCTCAGCTTCTTCTTTATAGTCGCAATTTTTACTTTTCTTATATAGGCATCGAAATATATTGTGCACCTACTGCTGACTCGAGAGACGTGTGGCAAGCATCGATGACCCACATTGCTCTTGAGGGTGGGTGTTTTGTTTTATCTGCAAATCAGTTCTGCCGAAGGAAAGATTACCCACCTCCTCCTGAGTATGTTTTTTCTGGCACGGAAGAAGATCTCTCACCGGATTCCATTGTTTGTCCCGGTGGCAGCGTCATCATATCACCATCAGGAACTGTTCTGGCAGGCCCAAATTATGAAGGCGAAGCTCTTATCTCTGCTGATTTAGGTATGCGACTTTTGGACCATGCTATATATGTATATAAACGTTGATACATTGGTGTGAGTTGGCAGATTTTGTTACATTGATCTTGACAACACATTTTCCAATCAATTGCCAGATTTTTGACATATATGGTGGTTTCAATTAAGGTGTACACCTTGTGTGTACAAGTAGTTTAATCTTGTGAATTTGCCTTTTTCACTTCTGGAACTGTCTTTCGTCTATTCCGTGCTTTGGACGTGAACAATATTTCTGATCTTCTGCACAGATCTTGGGGAAATTGCTCGTGCGAAGTTCGATTTTGACGTGGTTGGGCATTATTCACGACCTGAAGTCCTCAGCCTTGTCGTAAAGGATCATCCCATGAGTCCAGTATCTTTCACTTCAGCATCGGGAAAGGCAGAAAGCCCTCGTATTTGACAAAGCTTTGTTGAGTGAAATGGTGACAGC